ATGACTAGCGAGCGAACAAGTTTTTACCAAAAAGCAGACGAGGAGAAGAGATCGTACAAACTCCCGAAGAGTCTACACTACCCAGTACCTTCTAGCTAATTGGAAGGTGAGGCGAGCCTATTATCTGAGTGACCAGGTGATGACAATGACGAACAGCTGCGGGGGAACCGGATGAGGAGGGAGCTGCAGGGGCCATCTAGTGGTGAGTGTACGTAAATGTTACGCTCCAGGCTGTCTAGGGGGCCTGGGGTAACAATTGAGGATGCATGTTCTCGTGGTAAAAGTAACAAAACAACATTTATTTACATAAATATAAACACAAAACACAGATTAACAAGACACATCAACAGCAACGCAAAACGAGTAACAACTATACTCTCATATTAACCCATATTAACCAAATTAATACCAAAACTACGAAAGACCACACACAGACAGGGAAAAACCCAAATGGCCCTGAGCCATAACACTTCCCCTCTAAAAAGGATAATTAAGGTTTACACAATTAATTATACTACATCACATATCCCCCCCCCCCGCCCCCCGCCCCCCCCTACATACGGTGCCATCTGAAGCAACCCCTGCTTCTTTTTTTTTGGGTTAGGGTTAGGGTTATACTACATCACATATCCCCCCCCCCCCCCCCCCCCCCCTACATACGGTGCCATCTGAAGCAACCCCTGCTTCTGAAATTCCCTTGGTGGAACAACATTCAGCGGGAAGGTGACAATCAGCGCTGGGTTGATGGTGCGGACTCAACCGTGCCAAAAGTCCCACATCCACTGATCACGCAGGGTCCAGCCAAACTCGCTCCTCAATGGTGACTCACTGTCTGCTCGCTTAGTTCTCCCAGACAGGATTCCATCACAGTCTTTAACACAAAGAATAAGTCCACAGTGAGAAGATAACAAATTCTGACGACCTTTTTCCAGAGTCATTAGGCAGGCTTCCACAGCAGGAGTGTTCCACCTGTGAAAACGGAAGGGGGAGGGGGACCAACGGAGCGACCACCTGGCCGCTGGAGTAGCATCCCAGTCAGACGTGTCATACCAAGTGGGTTCCTCTCACCCACTGAAGATCGATCCCTCTCATGATCCATCCTTTAGATCTGTCGTCCAGGGCACAACTGAAGTGTCACCTCCCCGCTCGCATGCCATGCACCACCAAGATTTTCAGAACGGAGCTGCTGCGAACTATTCCAAAAGCAAAACATAAGTAATAAGAATAGTAAGTAAGAAGTAAGTCACATAAGTTCAACACCTCACACACAGCCAACTTAAATGATTATTCATGAACAGCCATGGGTGGCTTAAAGAGGAGCTTGAATTTAAAACCATATTTAACTGATTCATGAAAAGGGTTACTGTATGAAAGAATCTTACATCTGATCATAAAAAAGCCTCAAAAGCCCAACTTCAACATCTTTTTAATGATGACTTTTACTGCAGATTTCCCCCACCACAGAGACTAAAAGGCTGGCAGACAGTGTGATAAGTAGCAAAAGACCCCAGTAGGATATAATTCAATATCTTCTGGAGGAAACCACATCTACCTCCTCTGAGGTTTGTCACTCCTATGTATGAATCATTTCTGTTATCACATAGATGTTCCTGAGTCTCTGTGGGCACCACAGGATGCAATATCCAGCATGTTTCCCCAACATAGAAGACTCTGCACTTGGCTGGGAGGCATGTCTTTGGATATGTGCTCTGGTCCACAAGCAGAAAGAACACAGGATATTTACCAGCTGCTGAGTGTTGGGCTATTTTTAAATTCCTTAACCTTTAAACCTGAAATGAACACACACAAAGAGGAGGTAGGTCGTTTTACGCTGTATGGCCAGAACAGCGGAGGGAAGACATGGCAAAAACCCCTCCGGGTCTCCGCCATACTTCTCGGCCCCTCCTTGTCCCACAGTAAGTTTTATTGAAAAGATAGGACGAAGAAAGTGGGGCCTTCTCGAGTTACAGAGTTACAGACACAAACAACGCACACACATCACATTCCAAAACTACACCGTCAGGTGGAAAGCTGTTTAACATAGGGAGTGAAAACAACGTCACATTTCCTTCACACAAACCCAGGTGCTTTCAGTCAACATTCTATTTCTCATGCGAGTATATCCGATAACACAGAACAGCATGATCTGAGGAAGGTCATCGTCAAAATGTTGAGTCGGGAGGACTGGCACAGGATCACACGTGCATTTAATGAAGCACTAGGCTGCGAACAGTGTAAACCAGGCCCCCCTTGTAGTACCTTGCAGGCGGCGGGGGAGCCGGCATAGGACAGAGGGGGCTAGAACCAACAGGCTTGACCAGGGACACGTTGAAGACCGGGTGAACTTTGAGAGCGTGGGAGCTCCAGTCGAACCGTGGAGGGAGTGGTGACCCCCAGGACCTTAAACGGGCCTATGAATCTGGGAGTGAACTTACGGGAGGTGGCTTTCAGCGGGATGCCCTTAGACGAGAGCCATACTTCCTGACCAGGGGCGTAATCCAGGGCCGGACGTCACCAGCGGTCTGCCAGCCGCTTGTTCCTGTCAGCCGTTCTGTCCAGTGCGGCTCGGGTGGATACCCATGCCCGTCTGGCCACCCGGAGAAACTGAGGGATCGAAGATGGGGCCGAGGACTGCTGGGGAAACAGGGATGGCTGGTAACCAAGAGAGGCTTCAAATGGGGACTGACCTGTAGCGGTTGAAACATGGCAGTTGTGGGCGTACTCAACCCAGGTGAGGTGGGAGCTCCAGGAGGATGGGTGTGAGGAGCAGACACAGCGCAGCATGGCCTCGAGCTCCTGGTTCATGCGCTCACATTGTCCATTCGTCTGCGGGTGATATCCGGAAGTGAGGGAGACCTTAGCTCTGTAATGTGATGAAGGAGCCATTTCTCAGGGTTATTATCCTCTAACCACTGTTTCCTTTTGACACGGTGCCAGAGTGCATGAAACAGCCTCAAGGTCATGCATTCGCTTCTAAACTGTTTACGTTCCAGCAATGAAGACAGAAGATGAAGACTCCTTTCTTTTCTTTTATTAAAAGCCAAAGAACTCTATTTTCAATAATGCTAATCAAAACAACTGTTAGTCAATAACACCATGTGACCGATCTGTGAAACCACAATATTATGATTAATATGTTTTTAATAAGTAAATGACTTATTCTAGTCACTAGACACGCTGATACACTAAGGTAAATAATCACATGACACATTGCTGTTGCTGATCCAGTCAGAATCTTCCCCGTCTGAAGCGTGGCGTGGTGTTTATTTAATCTGTCAGCTTTGATTTGTCCAGAATCAAAAACATCCAGATTAATAAAACAGTTCCAACACCATTTTAAGTCAGTATTCAACAAGATCTCAAGATCCCCTGAAGTTCACCGCATGCTAAGTGAAGTATGGACAAGCCATCTATACTTTTCTTTTTAAGCTAAGAACTACTAAGCTGGGAAAAACCTGTTGTTGTTATCAACCAACAACGGTTCCTTCAGAATAAAAGCTGAACTCGCTGACCCAAGGAGGGTCCTCTTTTTGACACTGTGAATACCTGTCGCTTTTTACCTCGAGACTATCCAAAGACTGGGTTGTCGTGCTGTGACGCTGTTTCATCTGCTCTGGCACCAGAGGAGGGCCTTGGACCTGGCATCCGGATCTGTACGGAGGTCTCACTGAAGGGTATGTGGATGTGACAATACTGGCGTCTCATGTGTTTATGACCACGGTTCAAACTTGACCAGTTAGGAGCAAAACATCATATCCCACTTAGACTCGCTTCTCCGGACGCGGAGGTTCTGAACTTGACGTCGTTCACACACACACACACACTCCATCTCACACTTCCAACAACATCCATCATTAGAGAGTTGGTCTTGATAAATTGTTTAAAAATAATTTTAGTAATAAATTTTCTTAAACATTTGAAAGTCTCTCTCTTCTCTTGTCTCTCAGTTCATGCAAAGTGTTTATTTAATTCCCCTGTAATAAAAAGATCCAATCTTCTGATTTAAAGAAGTTGTAACTCCCCCCTCAGAGTCTTACTCCACCCACGTATCAATTTAAAAAACTGCAACATTAGTAGGCGTTGCCTGGAGGACCGAGAGGGCGGAGCCGCGGCAGTGACGAAGACGACGGCTAACTAGACGATGCTAGCTCCCTTCACTCTGAGCAGTCATTAGAAGTGGAGGGCGTTTCTCCCCGTCCTTACACAGACACTCGAGAAGAAAGGAACCAAGTCTATTTGGAGGAGACAAGCGGACCTGAGCCTTATTGTTTTGAGCTTGTGAGTTACCTGAAACTAGCAGAACCGACCCAACAGAACCAACTCTGAATGGTAAGTAGCCGTTAGCCATAGCATCAGATTAGCTGCAGGGTTTGTCTCCACGGCCCTAAAAAGCTAGTATTCCACATGTTTTAGAGGTTTATCTGCTTCAACACACCTGGTTTTAATCAGCACCAAATAGCTGAGCTGCTTAACAGCTAATCTAACCTGTTAAAGCAGGAAAACCACTGAAACGTGCTGGATAGCAGCTCTCCAGGAGCCTTGGGCTCAAGTTACAATCTGCTGCATAGAAAGTTATGAAACTACCCCATGAGAAAATTATTCTGTAATGTGTTCAACCCACTAAAACTGCACCGATTTCATTATTTATTTACTAATAACAGCTGCTCTCTCGGTTCTAGGTCCTCTGGTGTCTGCAGCTGGTCTCTGGTGTCGTCAGGATCAGGAGCTTCCAGAAGAATGTGCCTTTCAATGACTCTTTCCCCTTTATTTGTTATGTTAATTAAATAAATCTCAATTGATACATTTCCTATTTTTGTTCATGTCCATAAATACTTAAACATGCTTGAAATTAAAACGAGCTTTTAACAGTGAGGTGCTAGTTTAATTCATCACAATAGAGCTAGTTAAGCATGCAACAAAAATGTGATAATCAATGTAATTTATAAATATCCATTAAAATATCAAAACTGGAATCTAAATGAGATATTTGGCAGCACAAAAAACTTGTCAAACACAATATTTATTATAATAATTGTAGGCAGACAGGAGACAGAGCTGATGGAGGTTCTCAGTCATCGAAGGATGGCTGAAGGCTTTCCAGGAACAGGAGATGTGGTGTTGTCTCTTCTCTCTCTATTCTGCCAGATGAGCTGATAGGTTACAGGTGTGTGAGGACATCCTCATGCTGTCACAACCAGATGACAGGAGTTATCAGGTGATCAGCCAGGCTAATGATGAGATGCAGAAAGAAAACAAATCCAGGACAGTGTACAGTAATAACAACAATAATATGTGGTGTTGCTCACCTTATGTGCTCTTATAGAGTATTAACGTGTGCCTGCCTCATGGTGTAGAGTCCATATTTTGCTGAGTGTCCTGCAATAATTCAGGTTATTAATTAATTTACTTTTGATAGCAAAAACAGAGCTCTTCTGGCTGGCTATGTACAAAAACAAAGAAGCAGCACATTTATAAATGTTTAAAAGAGCATAAAATCACGTGTAACAATAATCTGTAAAACAAATTAAAACTAGAAGGTAATAATAAAATGTTTACATAGAAGATTATTAAAAATAATTCACCTTTGCTACGCCGGTAAGGCTTCATGTCAGCCTGGACAAGTGCATTCTTGCAGCTAAATCAGTCTGACAGCCAGTGTCTTGGGTAGATTTAGCCTGAAAAAAAAAATAGAAGCACATTGTTGTTGGGAGTTTATAAAGTCAGATAATATACAAAAGAAACTCCTGTATAGGCGCTTTATAACATTCCTAGTGTGTGATCGTTGTTATAACGTAAAAGTCAGTCACACATGATGTGGAGAGCCTGAAATGCGACCTCCTGAACAGAATTCCTCACAAAACCAGGTCACAAGCTGGATTTCACGCTGTAATGCTGTCTGTCAACTAGTGCTGCGTTAGTTAGAGACACTGTTGCAGAATTACCGACTGACTAGCTAAATGAAGTGAACCACGTCTCTCGGACTTTGCATTTAGGTAGGGAATTGTCTTTAGAAGATGTTAAAACTTTATTTAGCTTACTCACCTCAGACTGGAGCCCGCCGTGGTGGGGGAGCAGAGTCGGTGGGCTGCATCTAAATCGCGGAAGAGCCACGGTGGGCACAGCCTCCCTCTTCAAACGGAGACGTGCAGAATCGCGGGTAAAATGCTGATTGCAAACTACAGCGTCGAGCTGCAGGGAGAAACTGCCGGCATTCCGCACAGCAAACAGAAGCGCAAAGCCAGGGGAGAAACAGGTGGAAAACATCGGTCTCCCGAGAGCTCCACAAGCCGATAGTCTGAACCCAGCTCCACCAACATGTTATATTTCAACCCATTTTCTAAAATGCAGCATTATGTTAAATGCACTGGGTTTTATGCTATTACATTTAAATTTCATGGTTAAACAGTACACGTTAAAATCTAAGCTCAGCTCGGCAGTGACCTAAAATACATAAATATAATTTTACTTACCGAAAAAAATGAAGTGGAGACTCCTTGGACGCTCTATTAGTGCAGTTAATGCCACAGCAAGTCATTTTGTCCAACAGTTGCACAAAAAATATCCATAAAAGAATGCAAAAACACAGAGACTCAAAATGCCGGAGCAGTTTCCAAGCCAGACCGAGGCTCTACTGAGGCCTTTCCACGGAGCTAGCTCTGTGGTCACGTGGGTCTGATGCTTATTAATTATACAGCATTTTAGGCTTTTAATACACTTAAACAGAAGAGTGAGAAAAAAATTCACCCCCCTCAGAGTTGTCATGAGTGTAAACTAGATCATTTAAACAAAAAACATGTTTTGGTACCAGGCTGTAAACATGTTTATTTCTGCTGTGAAATTGGTATTTTTAACATGGGAGTCAATGAGGATTTGCTCGCTTCTGACACCAGCCCCAGCGGATGAGGGTGGAACTGCAATTTTTGGTACTTCCGGGTTTGACTCAATTTTAGAGCTCCATTGTGGGGGCTTGGTGTCGGAGGCGTCTACTTTGAGGGTGAATTGGCATTGTGGATCAGGTCTGTGGAGCACATGGGCGTTAGTGAACTTCCTCTTTAAGGTCTGGAATGCAGCCTGGGCTTCTGAGGACCAAACAAAAGGGCAATTAATAGAGGTCAGGTTTGTCAGCGGGGCGGCGGTCTGGCTGTAATTCCTTATAAACCTCCTGTAAAAGTTGGCAAAGCCCAAGAACCTTTGTAACTGCTTTCGAGTGACTGCACTGACCTTCTCAGGGTCTGCCCTTAGCCTCCCACTCTCGATGATAAAACCAAGGAACTTTACCTTGGGGAAGTGGAACACACATTTCTCCACCTTTACATATAAGCGGTTCTCCAGGAGGCGCTGTAGCACGGCCCTAACGTGTCTTATATGTTACTCTAAGGAGTTAGAAAAAAATCAAAATATCATCTAAATAAACAGTCACAAACTTATTTAGAAACTCTCCTAAAACAGAGTTCACTAGGGACTGGAACACGGCTGGTGCATTAGTTAAACCAAAAGGCATCACCAAGTACTCGAAATGTCTGATGGGAGTCTTAAACGCGGTCTTCCATTCGTCTCCCTGACGAATTCGAACCAGATGATAAGCGTTCCGGAGATCCAGGCGACTGAAGATGCTGGCATCCTGAATGGGTTCAAAAGTAGATGTTACTAGAGGCAATGGGTATTTTTTCTTAACGGTAATCAGGTTCAGACCCCTGTAGTCAATACAGGGTCTGAGTGTTCCTTCCTTCTTCGGAACGAAGAAGAAACCCACTCGTAGGGGTGATGAGGACGGTCTGATGAGGCCAACGGCCAGAGACTCCTGTATGTAGCTCTCCATGCTCTCTCTCTGGTTTAGAGAGGTGGCTAGAGGGAAGAGGAGCCCCTGGCAGCAGATCTATGCTGCAATCGAAAGGACTGTGTGGGGGGAGAGATGACGCTCGATCCTTGCTGAAGACTAGGCTGAGGTCGTGGTAGATCTGTGGCACAGAGGACAGGTCTATCCTTTCTGCTGGAGGAGCGGCAGAGATGCGGAGAATGGGTGAGGCTGAGCGGAGGCAGGTCTGTGAGCATCTGGAGCTCCATTCCTCAACTCTGTTAGTCTCCCAGTTCATGTGGGGGTTATGGAGGGAGAGCCAGGAGTGTGCCAGGACGAGAGGTGACTGAGGAGAGGGAAACACATAAAAAGCCAAAGCCTCCGTGTGGTTACCTGACACTCGTAACTGCAACGGGATGGTCTGGTGAGTAATGTTTGACAGGTTCTGGTCGTCCAAGGAAGACACAGAGAGCGGAGTAGGGAGCCGAATGGTTGGGATCTTCCTTCTCTTTACTAAGTCCAGTTCCAACAAGGACTGCTCACAACCAGAGTCAACAAGCGCTTCTATAGGAAACTGCTCAGAGTTAAAAAACACAACACACTGAAGTACACAACGGGAGCTCGCAGAAGAAGAGTTACTGCCTACCAGTAGTCCCGTCTTTACTGGTGGGCTCTGCCTTTTAACAGAGCCGGACAGGCTCTAGCAAAGTGTCCTAGCCCCCCACAATATAAACACAGACCTGACCTGATTCGATGTGACCTCTCCTCCCGGCTGAGGCATGTCCTTCCCATCTGCATGGGTTCCTCCATGGTGGTGGGCTCCACGGAGGGCCGAGTGCCCGACTCATGGTGACGGTCTGGTGTGGGGAAGGTTCTGGTACTGGAATTCTGGTACCGCAGTTCATGCATTACCTCAGCCACGCACACCAATGGGAAACAAACACTGGTCTACCTAGCTAGGTAGTCACAGGACCACGCCTAGTCGCAGCTCTGTTTATCGGCGTCTCTTGGTCTTTTACGAAAACACGGTTTTAACTGGTTTTATTGCCTTTTAACCCTGTTTTTTAACCGATTTTAGCATCACCAACTTTTTAACAACTCGTTTTTATCTACGGCTCCTTTCTTATCGTTATGACAGCTCCTACCTGCGATTTCGGGAGTGGTGGCTGCCTGAGGCTCACCCAGAAGATCTCGGAGCTGGAGCAGTGGATCTCTACGCTTCACCAGATCCAAGATCATGAACGCGACATGGACTTCATCTTCGGCTGGACCTTCGCCGCTGCTGGAAGTGCGGAGCTGGCCGACACCATCCCCTGCCAGCCCAACGAGGTTGTGGAGGCGCATGGATCCTTCGGGTCTCCTCGCGGGGTCGGGGCACCTGAGGTTACACCTGCTGCAGTGAAAGAACGCTGGCTGCATCTGGGGGCCAATCCGAAAGCCCCCCGCAGCTCCATGCCGCTTCTGCTGGACGCCTGGACCACGGTCGGCCCTGGCCGTGGCTGCGGTGGGAGAGCTGTCACAGCTCCCCTCCATCTGCGCTTCCTCACACCAACTGGTTCGGCGCCTTGGACCAGGACTTCCCTCCACTGCCAGCACCTGGCCACCGTAGCCTTGCAGGATCTGCTCCCAACCCAGGGGATCCCTCCCAGCCGCCGGAGCACCAGTTGACGTCCAGCAGCCGTCCATGTTGCGCCGTTCCCCCGGCTGCCCTGCGCCGAGGGGCAGTACATCATACCCCAAACCCATGGAGCAAGCCCTCGGCGAAAACGACCCACCATGCCAGCCCTGGGGAGCCGGTCTTTGACAGCAAGGGGTCCCCTGCACATCTCCAGCTGGAACAGGCAGCCACTGCTCTCGTTATCGGTGATTCCATCATCAGGATTGTGCTAACGAAAGGGGCCCATACTCTGCGTTTTCCCGGAGCAACAGTGTCAGATATCACGGATCAGATCTTGGACATCATTCAACAACACCCCACCGTGAGTAAAGTTATCATTCACGCAGGCACCAACAACATCCACAAACAACAGTCAGAACTGCTCAAACGGGATTTTATTCGTCTTTTAAATATTTTAAAGAGCACACCTGTGTCCGTTTTTATTTCTGGCCCCACTCCTACCGTTGGCAGAGGAATTGGACGTTTTAGCAGGCTCTTATCCTTGAACAACTGGCTCTCCTCCATTACAGCACTCAAAACCAAAAAATTACAGTCAAATCACACATCAACTTGGAGAAATGAAAACCTAAGAAAACTAAAGAGAAACTGCAGAGTGGCGGAGAGGAGATGGAGGAAAAACAAATTAACAATAAATCATCACATATATCTGGAACTACTTAAAACATATAATAATGCCATAAGAAATTCAAGAAATGCATATTTTTCCAAAATCCTCTCAGACAATAAAAATAACCCTAAAATTATTTTCTCCACAATCAATAATATTCTCAACTCCAACCAAAACTCAACTCAGAAACCCCCCTCAAACACTCTTTGTGAGGAATTTGCAGCCCACTGCAGAGGGAAGGTAGACGCCATCAGATGTAACATTTTATCCTCTCAACGTATCGTGGTTTTAGACACACCTGAG